TAAGATCAGCATCTATTAGTGCGCATTCTATAACTTTTCCGTAATTGGTAATTTAAATGAATTTGTAATAGTCGATCGATGCAAGTCTTAAAATTTCTAACATATTAGTGAAGTAATGTATTGGTATAGGCATATTTCTGTTTAGAAGAAGACAGAATGACAGTGCTCGGGTTGTTTGAAAAATGTGTTTATTCCTGTTTTGATTTCGAAATAGCTGTCAAATGTTAGTCATTAATGATCTATAACAATTACATCCCTACATGTATTTCACCTAACATAAACAATCAGCGGTATGTTTTAATTAAAAAACCGTGTCACGCCGTGTTTTCAACAACGAGGCAGTGCTATCATGTCACTCGATATTCATTCGATATTCACTCGGTAAATTGCGGAATTCCACGATAGAAAACACGGTAATATCGAAAGGAACTGTATCGAAAGGAACAGAGATCTTTGGGATATAAACCTATATTTCAAGTTTCGTCAAAACTGGATAAAACCTGTGACCTGTAGTGTGTCCACAAACAAAATGTGGGCATATAAAAATTGTGACCTTTAGAGGGTCCACAACCTTGGTATTACATACTATTTGCGTTCGAGAAGCGGCGTTTTTGTCGGACAGTTTTGGTTTGATTTTCACGAAATTGCCACTCAACCTTTTTTTTTCATAGTGTATCGATTGGCGTATTTAAACAGTTTTTAAATCAGATAACCAGCGGCTACCAGGCAGGATACGCCCAAATTTTGCAAGAGATGGATAAAGAACAAACTGAAAACAAGATAAGTTGCCAGGCAACTAAACATACGCCCACAGCAGCTAAATCGTCCGAGTGGTCGACAAGAGTTGTCGTATATTTGTTATTTTGTAGGTAGTAGGTAATTAGGGGGCATTTAATGGACAATTTCATACAGATGACATTATAATTTTCGTCGTTTGAGGGTTCACAAGGTTCTAAAAACTAAAACAAGGGCTGTAACTCTGGAAGTAATCTACAGAAATTGTTGAAATTCGACAGACTTTTTCGTTTTACTAATTCAAATAATACATATCAATTTCAAACAGATCGGATGATAACTTTTGTCGTTCGAACGTTCACAAGGTTCAACAAAATAAAACAAGGGCCATAACTCTAGAAGTAATTGACAGAAATTGCTGACATTCAATACGCTTCTTCATTTCACTAATTTAAATGATGCATATGAATTTCATACAGAATGGGTGATGACTTTTGTCGTTCAAGCGTTCACAAGATTCAACAATGTGAAACAAGGGCCATAACTCTAGATGTAATTAACGGAAATTTGCTGAAACTCAATAGACTTGTTCGTTTTACTAATTTAAACGATACCTATAAATTTCATACAGATCGGATAATAACTTTTGTCGTTAAAGCATTCACAAGGTACAACAAAGTGAAGAGAGAGAGAGAGAGACAGAAACGGGGTTTAACGTCCACTCGACACAAACTAGGTCATTTCGGGACTAACATATGGTTTTTAATTTTATTTACATAATTTGCTTGCGCGTAGGCGTTTTCAGCAGTGGGAGGAAACCGGAGGACCCGGAGAAAACCCATGAGGTTGGACAGGCGACCCTACTCCTTGCCTCGTACAACCGGGGACAACAAAGTGAAAAAAGGGCCATTACTCACGATGTAATTAATGGAAATTGTTGAAATTCAATAGGCATCTTCGTTGCACTAATTTAAGTGATGCACATCAATTTCAAACCGATCGGATGATAACTGTTGTCATTAGAGCGTTCAAATGATTGAACAAAGTGAAACAAGGGCCATAACTATAGATGTAATTAACGGAAATTGCTGAAATTCAATAAGCTTCTTTGTTTTACTAATCTAAATGATGCATATAAGTTTCATATAGATCGGATAATAACTTTTGTTGTTAGAGCATAAACAAGGTACAACAAAGTGAAACAAGGGCCATAACTCTAGATGGAATTAAAGGAAATTGCTGAAATTCAATAAGCTTCTTTGTTTTACTAATCTAAATGATGCATATAAATTTCATACAGATCGGATAATAACTTTTGTCGTTAGAGCATTCACAAGGGCCATAACTCACGGCGTAATTAATGGAAATTGTTCAAATTCAATAGGCTTCTTCGTTTCACTAATTTCAAACAGATCGGATGATAACTGTTGTCATTAGAGCGTTCACAAGATTTAACAAAGTGAAACAAGGGACATAACTCTAGATGTAATTAACGGAAATTGCTGAAATGCAATAGGCTTCTTTGTTTTACTAATTTAAATGATGCATATAAATTTCATACAGATCGGTTGATAACTTTTGTCGTTAGAGCGTTCACAAGGTGCAACAAAGTGAAACAAGGGCCATAACTCCAGACGAAATTAACGGAAGTTATTGACATTAATTAGACTTCTTCATCTCACTAATGCAAACAACATATATCAATTTCAAAACAATCAGATGATAAATGTAGTCTGTAGAGTGTTCACAAGAAATTGTGGACGACGGACGGACGGACGGACGGACAGACGGACGGACGGGGGCGACGGCAATATACGACCACATTTCCGTATAAAAAACGTTTTTTTGTACAATCAGGGGCCATAATCCAGAAAATTATTGTCTGAAATGCACAAATATCAAAAGTTTTAAGTTTTATCAAAATCGGATAAAAATTGTGACCTCTACAGGGTATTACATACTTATACACAATTTGCGTACAAAGAGCGGCATTTTGTCGAGCAGTTTCATTTCGATTTTCCTGAAATTCGAATTCGACCTTCATTATGGTGAATGGATATCTAAACGGTTTTTAAAATCGGAAAAAAAATGTCATCTCTAGAAAACCCAAAAGCTAAAAATGCGATTTTTTTAACAATCAGGGTTCATAATCTAGGAAGTTACTTTCAGATATGTGTGATTATCAAAAGGAACCAAGATCATTATGGTAGAAACGTATATTTAAAGTTTCATCCCAATCGGATAAAAACTTTGGCCTCTAGAGGGTCAACAACCTTAATATTATTATACAATATTTTTTACACCATTTGCGTAAAAGGGGCGGCCATTATGTCCGTCTGTTTTAGTCCGATTTTCACAAAATTCGGACTCAACCATCATTAGTGTATAACTGTGATAGATTCACACTTTTTTTTTTTTTAAATCAGATAAAAATTGTGCCCCCTTAAGGGAACACAAGCTCAAAACGCGATTTTTCGTACAATCAAGGGCCATAATTCAGGAAGTTACGATTCGACATGTGCGAATATCGAAAGAAACCAAGATCTTTAGGTTATAAACATGCATTTCAAGCTTCATCAAAATCGGATCAAAATTGTGACCTCTAGGAGGTCCACAACCTTGATATACCAGATGTTTACCATATTAATCTACAAGGGGCGGCCATTTTTTTCAATAGTTTTGGTCTGCTATTCACGAAATTCGAACTCACTATCATTAGGATGTAACGGTGATATACTAAAACGTTTTTTGTAATCGGATAAAAATTGTGACCTCTATAGGGTCCACAAGCTAAAAGCGCGATTTTTCGTACAATCAGGGGCCATAATTCAGGAATATGCGCAAATATCGAAAGAAACCAAGATCTTTGGGATATAAACATGCATTCCAAGTTTCATCAAAATCGGATGAAAATTGTGACCTCTAGAGGGTCCACAGCCTTGATATACCATATTTTCACACTATTTGCGAACAAGGGGCAGCCATTTTGTTCGGCAGTTTTGGTCCAATTTTCAAGAAATTCGAACTCAGCCATCCTTAGGGTGAAACGGTGATATACTTAAACGTTTTTTTAAATTGGATAAAAATTGTGACCTCTAGAGTGACAACAAGCTAAAAACGTGATTTGTATTACAATCAGGGGCCATAATCCATGAAGTTATGGTCCGATACATGCAAATATCGAAAGTGACCGAGATCTTTGGGAAATAGATCTATATTTCAAGTTTCGTCAAAATCGGATAAAAATTGTGACCTATACAGTGTCCACAAACAAATTGTGGACGGACAGACGCCAGGCCGGCCGGACGGACAGAGATGTCAGGACGTCCGCACAGGGAAGACGACAATATACGTCCACATGAAAATGTGGCCGTATAAAAAATGGTGATGTCTAGAGTGACCACAAGCTAGAAACGATTTGCGTATTTTTCCAAAATAACAGAGATCTGTGGGTTATAAGATACATTTCAAGTTTCATCAAAATCAGATAACGATAGGATGCCAAGCAACGAAACATACGCCCACAGCAGCTAAATCGTCCGGGCAGTCAACAAGTGTTGTCGCATATTTTTACTTTTACTTACACTCAAATCTGATTAAGAGTAACAACTCATTAAGTAATTATCAGAAAATCATTAGAATTTGTTTGGTTTTTATAAAGTTCTGCCCCATGTAAAGTTTAGTATACGAAACATTTAATATCATGGATTTAGCTGTTCAAGTTATCAAAATTCATAACTTTAGCCTCTAGAGCGTCCACAAGATTTTTTGAAGTGATCAAGGGCCATAACTCTGGCAATAATTATCGCAAATCGATGAAAATCAATAGACTTCTCCGTCTCATGGCCTTAAAAACACTGTGTATAAATTCAAAGTCAATTGGATATTAACTTAGCCTCTAGAGCGGACACAAGCAATTGTGGACGACGGACCGGCGACAATATACGACCGCATCTCAATGTGTCCACAAGCTAAAAACGTGATTTTTCGTACAATCAGAGGCCATTATCCAGGAATTTATGGTCCAATACATGCTAGTATCTACAGGAACCGAGATCTTTGGAGATAAACCTATATTTCAAGTTTCATCAAAATCGGATAAATATTGTGACCCGTCGAGTGTCCACAAATAAATTGTACGTACACGAACATGAAAATGTGAGTGTATAAAAACCACAAAAGTAAGAGCACTGATTACAGTCGAAATCAAATAGACCTAAACTGCATTTGTAGATGTATAATTTGGATTTACTAGTGTAACTTACTTATATTCCTTTAAATCATCTGTTAATCCTCCTTTTAAGTATCTCATGACAATTTCACCTTTTTGACGAGTTATGACTTTTGATCTCTGACCTTTAACTAATTCCCCTAAAAAAGCCTCAAATCTCTGTCTGTCAACACTCATTGTATACAGCTATTACCTTTTCAAAGAAACCATTATAAAATATTATACATATTTATTATGAAATAAAAACATCACAACAAAATTTAGAAAGCTGATGTAAGAAAACTGTTGAAATTCCATTGGCGTATGAGGCAATAATACAATTTCAACAAGCGGTTGTCATGCAAGATACGCCCACATTTTGCAAGAGATGGACAGAGAACAAGCTCAAAAAAAGAGGTGATTTTTTTGTACAATCAAGGGCCATAATTCAGGAAGTTACAATCCGATATGCATGAATATTGAAAGGAACCAAGATCTTTGTGTTATAAACATGTATTTCAAGTTACATCAAAATCGGATCAAAATTGTGTCCACTCTCTAGAGTGTCCAAAACCTTGATATACCATATATTTACAATATTTGCGTACGAGGGGCAGCCATTTTGACCGGCAGTTTTAATTCGATTTGTACGAAATTCGGACTCAACCATTCAAACGTTTTTTAAAATCGGATCAAAATTGTGACATTAAGAGGGATCACATCCTAAAAACGCGACTTTTCGTACAATCAAGGGCCATAATTCAGGAAGTTATGATCCAATATGTGCAAATATCGAAAGGAACCAAGATCTTTGGGTTATAAATATGTATTTCAAGTTTCACCAAAATCAGATCAAAATTGTGACCTCTATAGGGTCCACAACCTTGATATACCATATTTTTACGCTATTTGAGAACGAACGGCGTCAATTTTGTCTGTCAATTTTGGGCCAATTTTCACGCAATTCGAACTCAGTCGTCCTTAGGGTGTAATGGTGACATAATAATAAGTTTTTTTAAATCGGATAAAAATTATGACCTATATAGGGTCCACAACCTTGACATACCATATTTTTACGCTATTTGAGAACGAACGGCGGCCATTTTGTCTGTCAATTTTGGGCCGATTTTCATGAAATTCGACCTCAGCTGTTTTTAGGGTGTAACGGTGATATAATAATACGTTTTTTTAAATCGGATAAAAATTATGACTTCTATAGGGTCCACAAGCTAAAATCGCGATTTTTCCTACAATCAGGGGGCATAATTCAGGAAGTTATGGTCCGATATGCTTGAATATCGAAAGGAACCGAGATCTTTGGGTTATAAACTTAAATTACAAGTTTCAACAAAATTGGATAAAAATTGTGACCTCCATAGGGTCCACAAGCTAAAAACGTGATTTTTCGTACAAACAGGGGCCATAATCCATGAAGTTTCAATCCGATACATGCCAATATCGAAAGCAACCGAGATCTTATGCAGATAAACCTATATTTCAGGTTTCGTCAAAATCAGATAAGAATTGTGACCTGTAGAGTGTCCACAAACAAATTGTGGACGGACGGACGTCGGGACGGACAGGGGCGACGACAATATACGTCCACATGAAAATGTGGGCGTATAAAAAGTTAACCATAGTCTTGGCTTAAAAAGAACATGAATAGGGAAAACATCCAATTTGCATTTGCTGTAACCTTATACAGGATTTCTGAAAAGTGGAATGAGGATGGAGGAACATTGGTAAAAGATACAGTCACATTTTGCAAGAGATGGACAGAGAAAAAGAAAAAAAAAAAAGCGATTTTTTGTACAATAAGGGGCCATAAACCACGATGTTACGGTCTGACATGCGACAATATGAAAAGCAACCAAAATCTTTGGGACATCAACATATATTTTGTTTCATCCAAATAAAATAAAAATTGTGACTTCTAGAGGGTCCACACGCTAAAAGCGCAATTTTTGATACAAGCAGGGACCATAATCAAGGAAGTTGTGGTCCAATATGCGCAAATACAATGAAATTTTTATCCACATATTAATTTGTGTTTTAAAACTTATTACTAAAATTATTATTAGGCTTTCCGACTTTCGTCTGAAAGACTATTGTTTTTACTAAAAATATTATTATTAGGCTTTCAGACTTTCGTCTGAAAGACTATTGTTTTTACTAAAATTATTATTAGTGTCTGAAAGACTATTGTTTTTACTAAAATTATTATTATTTACAGATATAACGATTTTTCGACTTTTCTCAAAAATTGTGGCCCTTTTGGACCATTTATACTATATTGAGGCTTTTAAATTTGGATTCACACCATAGACCACCGTTAGGACTCTAAGTAACAGAAGTTTAAGAAGGGAAATCAGAGAAGTTTTCGAAATAAAAGCGTCTGAATAGGCTCCAAAAAGGAAAATAATAGATTTTCAGCGTTCCATTATATATTGCCTAACCCGCAAATTTTTACCATTTAGATGTCACAAGATCGTCCATTGTTTGAACTATCCAATGACACTTTAGTTGTTTTGATTCGGTGAAATCTGGCGTAGTAATCACTTTTTTCGCAAGATCACCATTTTTTTACATTTGATGTTTTTTTTCTCAAAATATCAGAAATTTTTTCGACTACTTCCGGTTTTTGGATCATTGTCGAGATAGCTTTAACAAGTGGTTTGGTTACCTTAACTTCTGTACATGAAGTTTCAGAATAATCCATTCAGCTGTTTTCCAAAGAAAGAAAATTAGAAGATCATTTTCAGTAATTTAAGGATTTTTCAACTTTTTTCCAAGATTGAGGCTCATTTTGGACAACTTATGTTATTTCAATGCTTTTATTTTTGGACTCACGCCATAGTCCACCCATAGGACTCGGAGTAAAATTTCGAAATTTTCAACTGCTATCGTCCGAGAAAAGACTCAGGGTTTCTGAAAATGTAATTTGTATGAAAATAGGTACAGAATTGACGAAGCTACGGCCGTTTTTTAATTTTTATGCACCGCACGAAATTCTGCCACTTCCGATCTGCGCAGAAGTTGCAAAAATAGTTGAGTGGCCCGGGGAATGGACTGTCGTATGATGCCCAATTTATACGGATAATATGACCAAGCAGCAAAATATGACATGCTGAAAATCAAGTATTTTCTGATTTGGAGCGGTTTTGGACGCCTGTATCTCAAAAACTTAACCTACAATTATTTTTTAACTTTCTCTATCGAGAGTCCATTCGATAGTCTTGTGCATGAAACCACCCAATAAGACTTTGAAATGTCTGGAATAGGATAAAAAAGGGGACTGAAAATCGAAAAAAGTTGAGAAATCGTAAAAGTTTGGAAAATGCTATATTATTTAATCAGAATTTTACGAAAAGGTTACACATTCAGATAGCTGACCTAATTACGATTCTAACGATGTATAATATGTATTGAGTTATTGAAATTTAATTTTCGATATTTTGAACATAGGATTTCTCAGGGCCATTTTATCTGATCAGATAATGTAATATATCATTACAGAGCCCTGTGGCTATCTAATAGCTCAAATTGGTTATTAAAACTATCCCGACAATAATCTCTATATTGAACGTATTCAAAAAATAAAAAAAAGGGTTAAAAAAAATTAGCGCTCTTGCGAAAAACTTGATTTCTCCATCAGATCTTAGTGGACCAAAAGAACCAAAGTGTCGCTGGATAGCCCCATTAATGGACTATCATATGACACCTGAATGATACGATTTAGATGGCTAGAAAATAAATTATGGTACGCCAAAAATCTAGTATTTTCCGTTTTGAAGCATTTTGAGAGGCCTTTTTCTCAAACACAACGACTACGTTTTTTCTTAAACTGTTTTTACTCAGAGTCCTATGGGTGGACTATGGCGTGAGTCCAAAAATAAAAGCATTGAAATAACATAAGTTGTCCAAGAAGAACCTCAATCTTGGAAAAAAATTGAAAAATCCTTAAATTAATGAAAATGATCTTCTAATTTTCTTTCTTTGGAAAACAGCTGAATGGATCATTCTGAAACTTCTTGTACAGAAGGTAAGGTAACCAAACAACTTGTTAAAGCTATACCCACAAAGATCCAAAAACCGGAAGTAGTCGAAAAAATTTCCAATATTTTGAGAAAAAAACAACACAGAAAGTAAAAAAATGTGTAACACTATTAACAGAAGATCGGTTTAGTAAATACAGCATTTATTTACAACTGGAACAAAGTATCACACATCTACATAATTACAACAGCAATACATAAATTAGTCTATACTGGAACTTAAACTAATATACCGGAACTATTAGAGCGGGAGCCCAGGGGGTTAACCTAGCTGAAAAGTGTACCAATTTTCTCCTATATGGTATCAATGTATGTATATCTGGTATCATCAGAATGTATGTCTGCCGGGTTTCTGGTGGTGGGTGTGGGATTCCCCGCCCAAAATGCCATGCCCCCCAACTAGTCTAGATTAGCTCAAAAGTGTACCACATGAAAATCGCACAACAATGTACCGTACATCTTCAGGTATTACAAAAACACTCTGACAGACATTTCTAGTGGTGGAGTACCCCTGACAGAGCTATGTAATTGCCAGACATTTGTAGTAATGGAGTATCCCTGACAAGAGTTATCTAATTTCCAGACCAAAGCTAGGCTAGATTAGCTCAAATCTGTACCACCTAAAACAGCTTTGGAGTTGTTCATTACCACGAGAAGAATCATGAATGACCACCGCCAGACAGTTTGTGCGGTGGGTTACCCCTAATTGACACGCCCAAAATGCCACACCCTCCAACTAGTGTTGACATTGATGTTATTAGCAGCCAGGTAATCCATACTAAAATGGGCGGTATGCGGACGTCCATTATCCTGTTGGAAGTGCTGAAGTTGTGGGTGAGCTCGAAACATCGGAACAACAATTGGTTGCAAGACATCATCACGGTAGGCTACAGCATTAACGCAACCCCTGCAGAAATGTGAAGCCTCCCCACACCATTACACTTCCCCCACCCCATCGATTCGTTTCGAAGACGCAGCAGTCTGCAAGACGTTCCCCAAGACGTCTCTACACACGTTGACGGCCATCAGCGTGATAAAGATGAAAGCGACTCTCATCACTGAAGAGCACACTTTGCCAGTCTACTTTTCTCCATGTCTGGTGTCCTTGAGCCCATATCAAACGCCGCTGACGGTGATGATCCCTGAGGATAGCTCCAAC